AGAAATATTGCCTGGAATAATAATTACGTGCTAGTTAATTACCCAGCATCATTACCATCATTTCGAAAGTACACTTTTCTTTCACATGTAGCAGTGCGCTGCTGGCAAGGTGACAATGGGGGGTGTGAGTGCGCTCACTCAAAATGATGCTAAATTTACCAGTGTGACACGTGTATTAATCACCCTTAGCACCAAAGGAATAGGTGTGTTTTGTCGCACTCAAGCTTTCGTGCACGCGTGCACTCAAGTTTTGGTGGCATTGAAACCGTAGTTTACAAACCGGGACCCTGCGTGTGGTAAAGATTGAAACGATGTGGGTACTTCGATATGACATATGCCTGTTAATGGTGCATTCAGACGACGGACCGAATCCGGATGTGGCGGGACGGACGGCGCGTCACGTGACCTCACATCAGGGATTTCCCTCGTCCGCGACTCGTCCACGCGGCTCGCGGACGGATGAACCCAACCTGTTTCTCACATCCGGATTCTGGCGGGAGAAAGCCGATACTTCAGCGGATTACCTTGGGGTTTCTGGCAACCAGTACACTTTTCGTCTGCTCGCGGCATGTCCTCCATGGCTCGCGGACAGCTCCATGACTGGTCGGCATCATCTACGCTTGAGTATGGTTTACTTAGTTTCCGGGGGCTTTGTTCTCAGATGATTAAATACGCAAAAATCACTTTTGGTGGTTCGGGAAATGTCGCCGCCGTCGACTGACACGCGAGATTCTTAGCGGTCATGATGGTGAAATATTCTAACTTCTGCAACCGGCGACGTGCCGCTTCATTAAAAGGATGGGAGACGCGTTCAGAAGTTCTACAAGTGGGGAACAGTGTAGTTGAAAGAACATTCTGCCAGCAACTCCCTTTTCTCCTGACAGAACAGCACTCCTCGTTCATTTGTCACAATGCGACAGACATCGCAGTCAAGCGTCGCTTCTTGCGGGCATCCATGTTGAATACTCTCAAACCGGTCTGCTTTCAGCGGGCCCAGGTGAGCGGCGAACCTGCTGTCGAGGGTAATCCGGCTGTTTTCTTCTAGGACACCGTCCGTCGTGTGGATGCGTCTGCAGGTGGATGATCCACGGATTAGCCGGCCGCGTCCACGACAAATCCGGATTCGGTCCGTCGTCTGAATGCACCATAAGTGTGTGTTCCTTCAGGAAAATGAAACGCGTTCCTGGCTTGAGCAGTCAGAAATACTTTTAGAGCAGCCCGACAACCAACAAGAGGAACAATAGTTCTTTCCCAGTGCCAGTTGTGGTACTATGTGCCCTGCAAATTTTCTGTGACGTCGAAAATACTTGCTTTAATTGTGAAACGTCACATGAGGGCTCTATGAGGTGCGGCCCACTCAGATGAGCACTCACACTTACTTTAAAAATCAAAATAAAATAGCTTAAAGCTTATGTTCTTGACAAATACTTGGTCGGGAGTGTCCACTTATGAAGGACCATCAAACAGCAAAAATATCTCAATGTTTCGATTTTGGTGTTTGGGGCCCTTCAGCTGTGCTGTGAGGAAAGGAACAGGGTGTGCAACATTGGCCGGTTAAAACTCCTAGCGCTGCAAGCACAGTTGTAAATGGCCCATTGTGCCATACGTTATCATTATGGAAGTACCAACTGTGTGCATTTTAAATAATAGATGACAGCTATTTATTGATGATGATAATCAATTATGCCTGGGTGTTTTGTAATCGATAGGCCTTTGAATCTTTGTGCTGTTCGCATGGTTTGATACCAGCTGCTGTTCATCACTTTTGATACAGGATATAAAATTTATTTTTTGGCTATATGATCACTGGTCGGGTAAAAATTTATTAGTATAATTACTCTGACTAATTGCCACCTTTATAGGATTTTTTTTCTGAAGCAAGTTAAAGCAGTGGTGTGGCTCGAATTAGGTTGAAGTGTGGTAGAACATGCGACTAATGTGCAGAATTCCTGGGTTTGATTCCTGTTCAAACCACTGATTTTTATTATTTGCATCAGTCACGTTTTTTTTCGCTCATGAGCAATGATGATTTTTTGCTCACAACCTATGCTACTGACACCGACAATGAACTTTCTATGAAATAAGCTTTTTAATGTTATTGCTTTAACCTTTTATGGAGGGCTCCTCATGTTTAAACAGTGCATGTCAACTACTGATGGCGGCATTGTCGTTTGTAGCAGCTTCTCATAATAATATGTAAAAAATTTTAGCTGTCTCGTGATAAGGGTTTTCAAGAAAAAAGGGGGACATATGTGTCCCATTGCCCTATGAGTGTATCTGAAAAAGTGGGACATGTCTCTTACACTGCACACTGAAAGACACTCGTATGAGAAAAAAAAAATCGCTGCATATCTACGAAGTGAATGATGACGAGTGGGCGAAGCTCTGGGGGATCATTATTCCCTGTACATTGCTCACTCGATCATGCAAAGACGTGACAACATGAGTGTACACTAAATACAAAGTTGTTTATTAATCGCAATGTGCATATGGTATCGAGATGTCCATATGGATATGGATATCCATTTTGGTATTCATATGGATGTATACTTACCTGGTGTAGGGGTTACTGTGGTCAGTATTGATATAGATAACCATATGAATATGGATATCTATAGTGTGTCATACCGACGGACAAAAGCTTCACCCCTACAATTACTTTAATTTTTTTATGAGGACTTGCTGCTACCTTACATAGCTTACAAACACCAACTTCATATCACAAAGAAGTTAAATGCGGACTGTAGATCCACTCGCTATAACAGGACTCGAGCAGCAGATGTGGATACTGGGCGTACCTGCAATAGTGCAATTTTTGTCCACGGAGAAAACTCAACTGCTTCTTTCCCTGCATGAGACTTCCTCGCATGAAGCAGAATGAAAATTGGATACTGTAATCAACTGTACAATATGTCAGACTGGCTACACTTCTATAAATATATCATTGAATACTAGTTGTCAATTTCGCATTTGCCCCGCCGCGGTGGTCTAGTGGCTGACTCGGCTGCTGACCCGTAGGTCGCGGGATCGAATCCCAGCTGCGGCGGCTGCATTTCCGATGGAGGCGGAAATGTTGTAGGCCTGTGTGCTCAGATTTGGGTGCATGTTAAAGAACCCCAGGTGGTCAAAATTTCTGGAGCCTTCCACTACGGCATCTCTCATAATCATGTGGTGGTTTCGGGACATTAAACCCCACATACCAATCAATCAATTTTGCATTGCACCAATTTTTAAGGAAACTATATGGGCAGGAACGAAGAAAAGCACTGTTATAGCACATTTTGGAACTCTGGAATAGAAAATAAGCTTTTCAAGTTTGCCTGTTATGCTGAATTGGGTGGAGACTGCACCAAAATTTGATGAAGAAAGGTACAGCAGGGGCAAGTAGAATAGTTTGTTTCGAACATCAGTATGTACTGCCAGCTCGCGAACAGCATGAAAACAGCTACCAACAGAGCTTTCTAGAACATCAATGTGGTTGCGCTAAAAGTTGGAAAGCAATCTATTCAGTGGTTTTGATATAAGAAATTAGAACTAAAGTGGGATGTATCAGTCCTGCTGCCTCACAAAGAGGGTATACATGTCCCACTGCCCCACCATCCAACAATGTTCAACCCCCATTTTTTTTACTCAAGGATTGCGTAGACTGAAGTACGGACAATTTAGTGCAGGGAGAATGGCAGTGATAATGGCATGCAGTCTGAATTCAAAATACAAGATAAAAAAAGCCACTCTCAATTGTTTGTTGCGGAGTCACCTGACCACATTTCACTCGCCTTGGCCCACCGTATGACGTTGGGTGGCTCCCCATTGAAATGAGTTGGAAGCACCTATGCAGAGCATGCTCACACATCATTTTTGCTTGCCTTTTTCAATATACAGTAGACGCTCAGTAAACGGAACCTGAAGGGATCATAATATCTTCCATTTAACAGGAGTTCCGTTTACTGAGAGGTGAACATGGGTCCAGAATACAAGCCTGAAATTAAGCATTGCAGAGGCAATAGTTCCGCTTAAGCAGTGGTTGTGTTTAACAGATTTCCGCTTACTGAGAGTCTACTGTATTGTTGACATAGCTGTAATACAAACGTGGTGCCTGGTGCCTGACTTGTCAGAACATGAGCGAGCGGGCGCTAATGTTTTGAAGCTAGGTGTTTTCTGCTGTTCTTTACAGTGACATTCCATGTCACTGCCTCTTCTTATTCTGAGAAGAGAATTCATAGAACGACCTGGGGTGGTGAACTACTGTTGACTCTTCAAGGGTTGTTAGGTGAGCCAGCCGCCCAATGAACTGCAAAGGTGCAGTGACACCAATTCATTGAAACGGATTACCTGCACCACTGCGACAACAATCATGAGCCTACTGCACGTGAAGAAAAAGGCAATAATCAAACCTCACACACACACAGTAGCAAGAAGAGGGAAGAGAGAATAACCTTTTGTATAGACATCCGACCTATGCAAGCAAAAAATTGAGAGGCGTAATGGTAGCCAGCGTCTCCGTCGTGCTTTGTAGTCGAAGTGATCTTTTCTGTTGTGATGGTGTCTTTTGGGGGTCAATGAAAAAGCACAGAAAAGGAAATCTCAGTTTTGATGCCATGCCACACTCGCTTCTAATGTTCACATTTATCCAGTCACAGGCTTTCATCATCCGCTGTTATTTCCAACTGCAGCAGTTCTTGTGAGTGCCATTACATGCTGATACGGTCAGCAGACATGTAGTGACTTTATTGCATTATTAAATTACTGAATCATTTGAAATTGGTGCTTAAACCTACATTAAAATTATCCCCAGCGGTCAGGTTTTGCACACCACAAATAAAAAAATAGGTGCCTCAAAAGTTTTGGATGGCCTCTTTTTAATAATTTCCTTTCATGCTGTGATAGATTATGAAATATTTTCTCATCAACTTGCTTTTTTTTCTTGTTAGTGGCTATAAATAATATTATGGCTACAGTATTTTTTCCGAAGTGTTTATGAAATCATGTTTTTCTGTTAGCACTTAGCCAAGAAGAAAATGCATTGGGACGGTTCCTGAAAGAGTGTGGAAAACAGGACAAGACCCGAGCTGGCAAAATGATGGGTGCAACAGGAAAGACAATGAGCTACTCTGCACAGCAAAGGTATGAGCCGAGCCTACCCGCTCAGGCATGCTTTAGCTGTGGGAGATTCTAGAAAATAACTGCTCGCATTCTTTACCTGACCTTATGTGCTGCGCAATGTCATTGCAGTCATCATCATTATCATTGTCGTCTGTTGGTAATGATTTTCCTGAGGCTTTCACATTTTCGAAATGCTCATCGTGAGCACAGATGTGCAAGAAGCAACCAAAAAAAAAGGGCAGTGGTGACTATGACATTACCATTCCTTGCACAAGGTTACAGATCAACTGCTGTGGTGACGGTGTGAAAGTCGGTGTCACCTTCAGCTCTCTTTAGATTTATGTCAATGTCGTGTAGCACGGAGTGCTGTATAGCACTGGATTGGGCATATGAGTTTTGAAATTCATATAAATTACCGTCCAAGCTCTATTCAACCGTGAGATTTGGTAGATTATATGTGCATGTTCACAGGAATCAATCCTGCAGGCCAGTGGTCCTCAGCCATGGATGTGTCGGGGACCCCTTGTGGACTGGTGGAAGTGATGGGGGACCCTTTACAGCTGAAGGGGGGGGGGGGGGGGGGGGTACGTAGGTAAATTAACACAACTGAAGTGTGAAACAGGTGCCTTGTATGAGGCTTGTGCGAATAGTGAATTTTAGGTTCAAAGCGAATAGTGATTTTGGTCGAATAATTTCGAATTGAATTGAATAGTGCATATGACATACAAAGAATTTGAATTTGAATAGTGCATATGACATACAAAGAAAAATGGGCATATTTATCATGACCTAACTATAACCAGCACAATATATTTTTATATTGAAATAAGTCCTCTATGCAAATGTCTTTTTGTTTTTTTTTTCGTTCACAGAAAGTTGAAATAATTTTGTGTAGTAGCGGGATATGAGTTTGGGTAGGATGCAAGTGATAGCCCGTAAAATAGGTAACATTTTAAATTTTTATTTTACATCGAGCGTTACAGCTGTCATAAAAAGCTTTTAAGCTTAATAAAATGATGAATTGATTTGAGGGTAACATGTTCATTTAAAGGGGCCCTGCAACACTTTTTCAAGTAGCCATGGAGCCAGTAAACAGGCTTGTTGCCTCGCAAATTTACCACTGCGAAATTTGTAGAATCAGTCCAGTATGAGTGATGGAGTTCCGAAAAATCAGTCTCACACTGCAATTTAATTCTCTCTTTTCGTCCCGACAAAATAGCTGGAAGATAAGCAGAGAGGAATGGTACGGCGAAAGAAAATACGTCACAGGCACCTCGTGACCTTGAGCACCTCTTTTTTATTTTTTCTTAGACACTGCTTTTCAGCGTGATCAGGCCCGCATGCATGAACATGTGGCAGCATCCCGCTGCGGCTCCAGTGACTACCGAGGGCGCCAGGTTCAAATCAGCCCATGGCTGATGCAGTAGCTGTGATGAGTCATTTTTGAGCTTGTGATGTCATTTGCCGAGAGAAGAGAGCAATTTTCAACTAGCTTTGAGAATTTACTGTGAATCGCAGGACGCGTGCTGCACTATATTTGGCTCGCGTGTTCTCAGAAGCCTCGACTATCGATTGGAAGTGTTTTCTGACTATGCTCAAGAAGTGTTGCAGGGCCCCTTTAAATTTGCAGGGGGACTTCGTGGCAAAGCGGATTTCCCCTGGTTGGGTGCTTTCACGGCTTAGCACTCCGACACTGCAGCAAAACTATCTTTGCATGCCGTTACATGTGGATAAATATACACTTGTTCATTGCAAATACTTCAAAATTTTAAATATTTTAAATTCAAATTGAATTTGAATACTCTAGGATTCATTTGAATATTTAAATCATTCGAATATTTGCTCAAGCCTACCTTTAATTGCTGCAAAAAACATCAAACAAACATGCCACATCACTTCATTTTGGACAGTTCATCAATACGTGGCACAGTCACACTTAAAGAAAAATGCGGGTGAAGGTTTCGCGGATCATAGAAATGGCTTCGTGGACCCTCTAGGGTCCGGGTACCCTCATTTGAGAACCACTGCTACAGGCTATCCCAGCTGTGAAATTTTCCATCATCATTTCCTTAAAAAAAGTTTTCCTGCCTTATTTTTAAATAGTATTTCTTCAAATAAAAACAACCACTTACTACTAACAGGGTCCTTTGACACCTTTCCATTGCTCATAAAACTCCCATGTAACATATACTACCAGCAGTTGCCATGCCACAGCGTTGCGTAGCTAGAAGGTAACACTATAAGCATTCTAGATGCTGTGGAAGGTTCTTTTTGGTGCGCGTGCTTGTATTTGTGTCACCTCAGAGTGTCTCTGCATGTGGTGAAATCAATGTTTTTCATTTGCCATAGCAAAACAAATGCAGCACGAAATAAGGGGGGACAAGAAAGACTGATGTACACACAGTGCTGGTCTTTCTATGCGAGTCTTTCTTCTCCTCATTTCTTTTGCACTTTATGTGTTTAGTTAGGAATTATCAAGACCCCCAAGCTTGCATGCGAGATTGCTTTAACAGAAAATGCTTAACACTTGTGCGCAAGGCTGCACACAAGTATAACTGCAAGTGGGTATAACTGCGTCGATGAAAAGGTCGTATTTTGCTTTATCAGCCGATGTCGAATTGCTCTGCAAGGGGGGGAGAACTATCTCGAGATGGGGTACTGCCAGAGGTCTGTTTAAATGGAATTAATGATGATAATAATCGTATGATTCTGAGAAATGCCACAGTGCGGGTTTATTTTGACTACCTGAGGTTCGCCCCCTGTGGAGGTGTGGCTGCAGTGGCTGGGAATTGAACTTGTGGCTTCGGTTTCATTGAAGTATGTTCACACATGCGACAGACATTTTGTTACCAGACATGTTATTCGAGTCCGCCCTTGAACCAATAGCCGTTGTGACTCTAAATGTGAGTGAAGACAAAAAAAAACTGTGTAGCTTACACTGATGTTGCAAGGCTGGAATCATCAGTAGAGCTAGTGTTTGATCTAGCGAACGCTAGTAATGCCAACATTTTGCTGGAAATAAGTTTTTTCTAGGCACAATATTAATGAGAACTAACCGACAATGATGCCAAGGAAAGTATAGGGGATGATGTTTGTAGTACACTCAAACCTCGATATAACAAACTCGGAGATAACGAAATATTGGTTATAATAAAGTAAATGAAAACTAGTCTTGCAGTAGATACAGTGTTAGGAATAGACCTTTATAACAAGCTTTCAGATATAACAAACTTATTTTTGTGTAAGGTGCAACTTTGTTATAATCAGTTTGAGTGTAATTGTAATGCAAATGTCAAAAAGAAAAGTGGCCTGAGAGCTAGTAGTACTAAGTATGGCTAGACTTGGTAGACATTTCACATGATTACCTTTTACATGATATTGTGGTTGTGTGTGGTTTTTGGCTGGAACAGGTCACATGACTAGCTGTTACGGGGTTTGAGGCAGGAACATGTCATATGACTTGCTACAATACTCTGAAATGTGTGATTTTAGTCACATGACTAAATGTCACATGATTAAGTCACATGACTAGATATTATATATTGATTAATTTTTGGTTGCTTGACTAGTTATTACATTATGTTACTTGATTTCAAGTCACGTGAGTTGTTATGCGATGTTATAAGATTTCAGTCTCGTGGCTAGTTTTTACACTATTTTTAGTCATGCAACAGTCTCGCTTATCATAGTTTTTGTATTCTACGCTGAACAAATTGGCACATGTGTTGTGGAACTGTAGCAGAAGCTGAAGGGGATGGTGAGAGTGCGTACAAGTTTATGATGATGATAATTATGATGATGAAAAGTACTCTGTTGTTGACCAGCAGGTCACGGGATCGAATCCTGGCTGCGGTGGCTGCATTTTCGATGGAGGCAAAAATGCTGCAGGCCGGTGTCCTTAGATTTGGGTGCTCGTTAAAGAACCCCAGGTGGTCAAAATTTCTGGAGCCCTCCACTGCGGCGCCTCATAATCATATGGTGGTTTTGGAATGTTAAACCCCGCATATCAATCAATCAATTTGTATCGCGTTGCGTACGCCTGCACCCAAGGTTGATGCGCCTGTGTCGTAGATGGCTTGTCACGTCGTCGTTATTCTCTTGACACACGAGCCAAGCCAAGTCACCGAAACTGTCACAGTGCATATGTGCGGCCATGCCAAGTAGCAGTACGTCATTTCTGAGACAAAGTGTAAGTAAAAAAAAAACATGTCGCTTCAAAACCTTAGTGGTCTGGAAGCCCCGCCGCGGTGGTCTAGTGGCTAAGGTACTCGGCTGCTGACCCGCACGTCGCGGGTTCGAATCTCGGCCGCGGCGGCTGCATTTCCGATGGAGGCGGAAATGTTGTAGGCCTGTGTGCTCAGATTTGGGTGCACGTTAAAGAACCCCAGGCGGTCAAAATTTCCGGAGCCCTCCACTACCGCGTCTCTCATAATCATATGGTGGTTTTTGGACGTTAAACCCCACATATCAATCAATTAGTGGTCTGGAAACTGTATGCATGGTTCAGTGTGCATGCAGAAAAGTTAGTCAAGACGTGCTGTCGAGCATGGAATCATTAAGTCATGCGAAGGCAGTGCTACTTTAATGTGTACTACTAATGCATGCCTATATAAACATTTTTATGAAGTAATATTTTTTACTATAAAGAAGTGAACAATATTTCAATAATAACAGGAAAATTGTTGACCGCGTACACTAATCTACGGTCATGTAACCGGGTACATAGAAGTTCAGAAGTTTTTGCCACCAGGTGGTGCCACAGGCCATTTTTCGTGATTTTTTTAATGAAGAAATAAGAATATAACTTCACTTCTCACAAGAAAAACAGGGTCGGTTTGAGTCACTATAAGGAACAATCTTTCCATCTGTGCAGTCATCTCATGTTTTGTGCAGTTCTCGCTCCCTTTAATGTTCAAACTGGCTGGTCCTGCAGGCTAAATTCTCATTGGTAGCTTTGTGATGCCCCGGAATAAGGGGGTGATTAGCAGGAGAATGAGTGCTGCAGACGGCCAGCATGCGGTCGGGCCCAACACAACTTTTCGCATTAATAAAGTACAATTTTACAATTCTAAAAACATCATTGTTACCACGACACGATGCTTGGAAAGCGAGAAAACGTGTGAAAAGAAAATATGGGTGGAGACACCACCTTGAAATTTCTGCACCAAACCCTGTTACGTCATAGTTTCCAAAGGCAGCTACCGTAGCTTCTAATCGATAAAAATAAAGTACATTGTAATCTGTCGATGCCATAGACCCAGGATACGAAGTTTTAGAGAATATCATTGAGCCAATGTCATGAAAATATGGAAAATAGTACATTTTGAAATTTTTGACGTCACGGAGGTTTCAGCAGAAAATTTAAAACTGAAACTTCAAGTTTATGTTGTCTCCACTAATAATAAACTTATGATAGTAAAACATATGGCATTAGAGTTCTCAGAGTGCAGTTTGTCAATCTAAAGCAAGTAAGTCGCTGTTTCTCTTTAGTGTCACTATATTTTGTGAGTCAGCTTTACTTATGGTGTAATGCACAATTGGAGCTCAACTTAAACAAAAAAATAGGTTGGGGTCAAGAAACAGAGGTAGGTGTAGGTGTGAGCACAAGTGAAATTGCTATACCTTAGACAAACCATTGATGATGATTAATTACTTCAGCTGGTAAACAACTCACATGGTACATTAATTTGTCAACACTCATCACTGCCATATTCAGTTGGTAAACACAGCTAAAGAAAATCAAGTGAAATATTTAGAATTTTTTTTCTTGGGAAACGCCCATGTGAATGGGGGCTGACCTTCCAAACACGGCAGATTGGCCACCTTCTACTCATAATGGCACCTCTGGCATCGACATTGGTCTTTGTATGAAACCTCGGTTGGAGTTTCATGACTAGAACAAAAGTATTGAAAAACCATGCTACTGCTATTGGCTCCATTTGTTTTTCAGACTTATGTGTATTCAACTATTGAACGTTAAGCTATCCTTGGCGAGTCTGAATTATTTGTTTTCATCTTGATTGTTTGTATGCCCCACTTTATTCTTCTTACATCCCCCAACTGGTACCTTTGCTATGTAATTGTGACTGCCTTATATTGAAATAAACATGGCGTATTAACTAGTCTATGCAACAGTTTTAGCAGGACATCATAAAGAAATGTTAGGCTTTGTTATAAAGTCACATGCAATGAACTCTTTAAACGTAACTTGAAGGGACCTTTAAAATAAGTTTTCTAGCAGCTTTGACTGCATTGTTGGACTATCACAGGTTTTTTCAAAGTTTCATTTGTAATTATTTTATTAACTTACGGGTTTTCTTCCTGGTTCTTCCGGACATCAAACAGCCAACTGTCTGGCTCAGAGGTTTTGTTTTTGGCCAGATATAGATATTTTTTCACATTTACTGCACAAGCTTAGAACATTCGAAGCACATGCGGTAAATATGTTTAGCTATTTTATATAAGCATCTGATGTTTTTTGTGCGACTTGATGATGTGTTTACAGTGCACAGAGGTTTCCAAGCAGACGTGACAGTGATGGAATTTGCTTTTAATAATCATGGAAAACCTGGAAAAGTCAGGGAGAAAAATCAAATTGTAGACACCCTGCAATTGGTCACTGCAAGAATAGCTCCCCAGCAGTTCCATTTACCAGATTTCCGTTTACTGAAAGTCTGTATTTGAGGGAGGGGGGCACAAACATCAGTCATACTTTGAGCAAAATCTTGGTAAGTCTGAAGAGGCAGACATACTACAAAGGGTCAATTAAACTCTTCTACTGCCATTGTATGGAACACTTAAGTGGGGTTGTCCCCCCTTAAATGGACCCTGTGACGTTTTTCCTTCTGCATTCTGTAGCACTGGAGCAAATGTAGTGCTGAATGCTGGGATGCATGCAAAAAGAATTGTCGAAATTGGTAATGAACAAACTGTTCCCTCTCTCACTGAAGTCAAAAGCCGCATCCAATCATCGTGTGCCTCTAACAAAAACATATCAGACATCTTGACTTCGCAGTGGCCTTTGTGCAGCGCTCCTAGTATCGTTTTGCAAATGTTTTCACATGTTCATGTTCAAACACAAATCTTTTTGTATCTAGTAAAGTATAAATTGTGCTTGTACAATTTTTAGTGCATAATAATAAGGCAATTTGGGACCATATGAATATTATGAGAATTGTTGCGTTGAATAAGTCGAGTCGAGGCGCACAGCCTATGTCGTCACTCCCACGTGGAGAAGCGTCACTTCCGATCACAAAAATAGCTGCCGTGTGTCACTCTTCAATAACACTATGGTTTCGCCATAGAAACAAATTATAACAGCTTTATTTTAGGCGTTGCTACTCATGCAATGATATCGCTGAATTCCACAGCTCAAAGAAAAACATTGAAAGCAACATGCTTGATTTGTGTCGCAGGGCCCTTTTAAGACTAGTTAAGAATATGCCCATGGCCTTGTACGTAAGCAGCCAGATGATAAAAGTGAAAAATAGGTTTATATGGTGAACGCTTAAGAAAGCATTTGTTTGGAATGGATGCCACTTCTGGTGCATTGTTTTCAATGTTATTTATTTATTTATTCTATCTTTTCCCTCTTCTGAAACAGTAACTGTTGTTGGTGTTCATGAACTGGTCATAGAGTTTAATTTGCTAAGTACAAGCTGGTTGACGAGTTCTCTAAAAAAACTTCCTTAAATTGAAGCAGCAAATTTCTAGGCTGCCAAGATGTGGCTGCTTATAATGGTTGCATTCTAAGCGTATGATTGAAAACTGTTTTGCTGGAATTTGCCAATACATCTGTCTGATCAGGCACTAATGGCTATATGTGCCATCTATGGCTTTTCTGCTGTAGAATTTGTATAATTGAGTGTCCTGAAAAAAAAAAAGAAAAAAAAGATGTCTTAGAACTTGAAATAGAAAAATTTCAAGAATAATAAAAATAACAATACTTTTTTGCAGACTAGTTGGTTCACACTTGAAAAATTGAATTGCTGCAGAAACTTGAAGGAAAACAAGGGAGACAGGAAAGAGCGCAGACTACCACCTGTTTATTGTCGTTTTTTGAAGCCAATATATACGCATGAAGAACGCTAACATCATCTTAATACATAAGAAAGGAGATGACAAGGACTTGAAGAATTACAGGCCGATCAGCTTGCTCTCTGTAGTATAAAAGCTATTTACAAAGGTAATTGCTAACAGAGTAAAGAAAACATTAGAATTCAATCAACCAAAGGAACAAGCAGGATTTCGAACAGGCTACTCAACAATTGACCACATTCAAACTATCAATCAGGTAATAGAGAAATGCTCAGAGTATAACCAACCACTATACATAGCCTTCATAGATTACGAGAAGGCATTTGATTCAGTAGAAATATCAGCCGTTATGCAGACACTGCAGAATCAGGACGTAGATGAAGTATATATAAACATTCTGGAAGAAATCTACAGGGGATCAACTGCTACCATAGTGCTTCATAAAGCAAGCAACAGAATACCAATCAAGAAGGGTGTAAGGCAGGGGGACACAATCTCCCCAATGCTATTCACCGCGTGCTTACAGGAGGTTTTCAGAAGCCTAGAATGGGAACAGTTAGGGATAAGAGTTAATGGAGAATACCTTAGTAACCTGCGCTTCGCCGATGACATTGCATTGCTGAGTAACTCAGGGGACGAATTGCAACTCATGATTGCGGAGTTAGACAAAGAGAGCAGAAAGGTGGGTCTTAAAATTAATCTGCAGAAAACGAAAGTAATGTACAACAACCTCGGAAAGGAGCAGCGCTTCGAGATATGTAATAGTGCACTTGAAGTTGTAAAAGACTATGTTTACTTAGGGCAGGTAATAACCGCAGAGCCTAACCACGAGATTTAAGTAACTAGAAGAATAAGAATGGGGTGGAGCACATTCGGCAAGCACTCTCAAATTATGACAGGTAGATTGCCACTATCCCTCAAGAGGAAGGTATATAACAGCTGTATCTTGCCGGTACTGAGCTACGGAGCAGAAACCTGGAGGCTTACAAAGAGGGTTCAGCTTAAATTGAGGACGACGCAGCGAGCAATGGAATGAAAAATGGTAGGTGTAACCTTAAGAGACAAGAAGAGAGCAGAGTGGATTAGGGGACAAACGGGGGTTAAGGATATTATAGTTGAAATAAAGAAGAGGAAATGGACATGGGCCGAGCATGTAGCGCGTAGACAGGATAACCGCTGGTCATTAAGGGTAACTAACTGGATTCCCAGAGAAGGGAAGCGGGTCAGGGGGAGACAGAAGGTTAGGTGGGCAGATGAGATTAAGAAGTTTGCGGATATAAATTGGCAGCAGCAAGCACAGGACCGGGTTAACTGGCGGAACATGGGAGAGGCTTTTGTCCTGCAGTGGACGTAGTCAGGCTGATGATGATGATGATATACGCATGCTACGCTGCGCTTCCACGATGCGCACACGATGCGTTTAGATTGTGGTGGGTCTCACTTTTGTATTTTGCCATTTTTTCACTTTTGTCATTGTGGTGGCAGTCAATTTTGATTTTATTTGTTTTGGGTCGGCTTTGTTTGTGGCATCTTTGGTTTTGTGCGCATCGTGGAAGCGCAGCGTAGCATGCGTACACATTGGCTTCAAGAAACGACAATAAACAGTTGGTAGTCTGCGCTCTTTCCTGTCTCCCTTGTTTTCCTTCAAGTTTGTGCAGCAATTCAATTTTTCAAAAATAACAGGGCCTGCTTAGTTCCTTTTTAAAATTTTATGTTGAAGTGCCATTATCTGGTACAAAATTTGCAATCAATTGAGGCTATATTAACCCTTAAGATAAATGATAAGGTTTTTCAGCTGTTTCATTTTGGTGACTCAAGAAGCGATCCTAGTGTTATGCATCTTTGTGCTACCGTGATAGCTCATTTTTCTGCATGACTCTCTATGGTGTCCTAGTGGTTGTACTGTTTGTGCAGGCTGACTCTACGTGTGCCTCTGGTGCGCCTTTATCAGGAAGTGGAAACCTATCAATTTCGTGCTATTGCCGACACTCTGGCTACAGTTGAGAAGATGGAGCGATCCAGGACTGACTATCGGGGGGCTCTGCTTTGGATGAAAGACATCTCGCAACAGCTGGACCCTGACACATACAAACAGTTGGAAAAGTTCCGAAAAGTGAGTTGGCCATGCTTTAATGCTTTACATTTACTAACTGTTGATGGATTAATTAGTACCACAGAAACGATGCCCACATATAAAAGAACAAACAAAAGAAAGTGATGACGTGTTTCACAGTAATTCAAATAAAAAAAATGAGACAGAGTAGAAAAAAAAAGACCGCTGACTTCCGATTGATGTTTATTTTGCAGAATGGCAAAATATATACGTACAGATAAGGATAAAGACAAGCCTAATCAATGCATCAACAGTCAATTCACAACATGTGTTCACGATTGTCCTACAGCCTGGCCAGGTAATCACGCTCAAACCGTGACAGTGCAAGGGATAACGTGCTTACCCAATTGTCGCCTAGTTTGTGTATCTTTTCTGCTTCTATAATCTCGCGGGTTAGCTGGAATCTATGCCTTGCCACTAGAACGCACTGATTGAAAAGGGGGCTGCACCGCAGTCTCGACAATGGATGCCTGGGTGTGTCTGCATCACATTGTGCACAATATTTCGGTGCTCACGCAGGTGGTCGTTAGCATACGTGCCAGTCTGAGCAACGTAAGCCTTCCCACACATCAGTGGGATCTAGTAGATGATGCCTACCATCAGGGGTGAGACAGCTGCGCATATTGCACATTTTTTGTACGTTTCCATTTTCCTGTGCCAAGCTTCTCTCTATATAAATTGCGCTGAACTGCTCCAACACAGCCTCAAAAGCAAGCATTTTCATGCCAACCTCAGCTTTAGTGGGGAAAACAGGGTGAGTTTACAGGATTTTTCTAGCAACGCCAAAATACTAAGAAGATAAGATGCCTGCAAGCGTATTTTTTACTTTAAACCTTTCTGGTGCCATCTTAATCTCCTCTGCAATGTGGTAAATATGCATGACCCCGCAAATATATGCTGCCACGCATCCAAGTGAGCTGCTTCTGCTAGCTAAGCTGTGTGTTCTCGCGCCACTTTCGCTTCGCGAAAACCACCGAGTTAGCCACCGTAACCGAGTGGCATGTGTAGCTGGATTTTGACTCTAAGATTCTTTGTTGTGCCTATAGCGCATTTGTCTGGTTGTTGTGGTTTTTAAGTCGACGCTGCTGCGTGCGGTCACCTACACGCGTGCGTTTGCAGTGGGCGGGTATCTTGTTGCGTAAATGTGGAGTCATCCATCCCCCTGCATGCGACTCGTCTCCTGGATGCTCTGGCATGTGGGTTGTCAAACTGGATTCCGTGAGTGACTGAATGCTTGAAACCTGCTCTATTTAGACGAGCATTTTTTTTTTCATTGCATTTTGCATTTTAAAAAGCCATCACACTCCAAATCTGCACATCGGTGTCTGCAGTTAGCGAGACACCCACTTGGTTATTTGCGAACTCATGGTGACAGAACGCGTGTTCAAACCAGTTTTAACGGGCACCTTGGTGCTTTATTCATGACTCATGACGCGTCGGGGATCACGTGGCACAGTCGGTAATTTGCCATTACTTCGTTTTGTAATCGAAACTCGAAAGAGTGCGGTAGGTATCGCTGCTTATCGGCTCTGGGCTACACGAGCTTTTAGGCTTAGCTTTACGGTCGACTGGTTTTCGGTCGGCGGCTGTTCCAGAGTGTGACTGGCATACATCCTTTTTCTTGCAACTACACCAGCCTTTATGCGTTCAGCATTTCGATCGCATGGACACGTCGGTTACCTGCGCAGTGCGGTGCGCTAGTGGTGGAGCGGCATTGGGAGTTCGTCTACTACAACAGTGATGGCCTACGCTATTAAATAAAATAAATAAAACAGGCCAAGAATAACAGTATAATAAAGCGTGGTCGTACGTCAAGAGGCGTTATTAGTACCATTCGCTTATCACTTAGTGCCACACACATCTGCTTTACGAAATAGTCTGTGCGTCGAGGTTTCTTGGCTCCCGTGCCGCACTCTTATACCCATGTTACACAGACAAGCTAAGCGCGGATAGTGCCAACCACGGTTAACCGCGTTGAACCGCAGTTTGCGCCAACCGTGGTTCGCTGATGTTACACAGCTACTATGGAGCTAGAAACGCATACCTTGTTTCTCGTGACAGAAAAACGCCACGCGCACTCGCGGCATGCACTCATTGGTGGTGGGCGCAGTCATTTTCTGGGTTATCCCCCTAACCAAGGTTGCTAAGCTCGGTTTGTGGCATAACCGCAGTTTCGTGTGCTGCGTAACATCAGTGAACTACGGTTAACGTAACCGTGGCTAGCGTAACCGCAGTTTAGACTGCCTGTGTAACAAGAGTATTAGAAGTGCTCCCACACGAGGTTGCCACGAACGGCGATGCAGTGCGCTTTTGTTATCTGTTTAAAGCTTGCAGTACACTTTACGCTATCATAGCACTTTTTTAAAAGTGAAGGCGCAGTGTTACATAACTACAGTTTTTTATAATCACAACTTTTTTAGATGTGATGCAGCTCTTTTACTAGCCTGTTTAAAGCTGTTTGTCCGTGTCTCCATGCCAACGCGTCGCACTGCGCTTCCCTTGTCGCAGGTGTTGGGGCAGTGTCAAGAAGGTCATGCTTTTTCTCGCAGTGCGCGGTGACGTCACTCTCTCCCTCGCCTGCCGCACGCTCGCCGTGTGTCACCTCTCTCTCGCTTCACTTTCTCCACTGCTTGCAATGTTCAAACACACATCGAGTGAAAACTCTTTTGGCTCATTTATCTGCGATTGAGAGGACGCCGGAAAGCGACGCTCCTTTGCCCGCTGAAACATGTACCGAAGCGATTTGTCCTAACCCAGTCATCGCCGGAGTTGCGAGGGTAGCCGATTGCATTTGCGAATGGTCACGTCGTGCCTGCAAAACCGATGAGGCGTGAACCAGGGAAACGGAATGCAAGTGTTGGCAGTGGAAGACCAATGACACCGATGAGGCGTGAGTGAAAATTGCCGATCACGTCCGCGCACAACACTGCTGCTTCGCATCCCATCAGGATTTGCTTTGGGAAGATGTCATTAATTTTTTTGAATTCTTTATGAGTGTGTTATGTTTTTCTTTTTAAATGTTTCTGGAGAAAATAGTTTTGAAAACCTTCTTTTTAAAATACTATTTCACATGTTTGTTATAAGGCCTAGATAACTCATGTTCAGTTTTATGTCCTTGAGGCCCCCATCAGGGGTGTTTTGCAAGGGGTGAAATTACAAGTCTAACAGCGATGATTTGATTAACATTGCAACGTGCTATGTGAAAAGTTAGTGTAGTTCATGCTTGGCGATAATCTGTTCAAAAGCTTTCTTCAAAGTCTGTTCCAGTGTTATGTGTATTATAAACCAATTAAAATATGCACTTGTGCCCCAAGTTGCTAAAATTTTGTTATTTCAAGCTCCTAGGACGACATAATTAATGCCGCTAACTGCTCCAAAACAAGGTTTGCCTGCTCCAAAATTGAATTTTTGCTGCTCCAAAAACTGCTTCCAATTCCGTATCAGCAATCTCACCCCTGCTACTATGCAAGAACATAGTGTGACCTGTACACAGCAGGTCGCGCTCGTGTGCTCGTCTACTCAATCTCATTGAGCTGCTTCTGACTGAATAGATTCCAGCTTTTTTGGCATCCTAAAGGGACACTGAAGAGAAACAATGACTTGGTTTAGGTTGATAAACTGCACTCAGAGAACTCTAATGCCCTAAGTTTAACTGTCATAATTTCATGATTGGTAGAGAAAAACAAGGTTGAAGTGTCAATCTTAAATTTTACACCAAAATCTCTAAGGGTGATGTAACAAATTTCAAAATACATTTTTGCATTATCACAACATTGGCTCGATAAAATTTTCTGAAATTTTGTATGCTAGGTCTGTGGTACCCACACATGAATAATGTCATTTTGATCAATTAGAAGCTACGTAAAACCCAGTACATGCCTTCAAAATCTATGAACTCACGGTTCTTTGTGCGGGAATTGCAAGGTGTGTCTACCCACATCTCTACCCGTTTTCTTGCTTACTGAGCGCCGTGTCACTGTAAGAGCGGTGCTTTTGGGATGGTGACATTGTACTTTACTAATCCAAAAAAAGTCTTTTTGCTCTTTAGTGGCCCTTTAAGTGCCATAAAACCTTGAAGTACGATCTGTTCATTTACACACATCATATATTCTATTATAAGAGACCACTAGGTATAAACTTGTGAATAGTTGAAATTTCTAATATGAATAGAATAAGAATAGTCCATGCTATTTTATTTGTGTTTCAGTTTAAAAATTAGATATGAAAGGCTGTCAATAATAGTCTTCCTATCTTTTGATTATGCAGTATGTCCCAGCTAAGTGAGGCCAAGCTAAATAAAAAAAGGCCAAGAAATATGATGATGGAAAGAATGGTGTTTTTGTAGTGATTGCTTGTCACAGACCAGTGAATATTTCTGTTAGCATTAATTACTTAATTAGCGAAATTTAGATACAAAGGTTACTAATAGCTTGCCTACATGCCTGACCTTGTATGCCAAATTGGACGTTGTATTGAGTTCTTTGAGGGTTGAATTTTTTCCTGTGAAATGCAGTCCGAAAAATGTGCAATTTTTTATTGCTGAAATAAATTTTTCAGATAATTCTATTTTGGGAAAAAATTTTAAAAATTCTTTGCGTGACCGTAAAGTGACAAAAAAAGCTTTTGCTACGCACATAGTTTGTTTGTAGTATCATCACGAAAAATCCTAAAGAAAATACTTATACGCTATTGCTAACAAACATACAAAAATAAGTGTGTCAAGGCACTTTTCTTGTCACAGTGATCGAAGTGCTGCTCCATGCTGCGCCAAACAGTAATTGTTGTTAGTAATTGCTGCAAACCTGCTCCAAAGTGACACTTAGAGAATGAGAATGACGAAATTTTACTGTTGGACCAACTCGTAGGTCCTAAGGAAACTGAAAAGAATTTGTGTGCTATCATCACAGTGTGCTACTAGTGTGCAGCAGTATCGGCTCTGATCTCATTTGTGCGGCAGGAACTGGCATATTAAGCATATAGCTCATTTGGCTGTTTTTTTT